AGACAGTAAAATGCTTTCATGTGAAAATGATTGTCAATACATTAAATTTTCATGTAAAATACACATATTCAATGTAATTTTGTCTTTTTTTTCTCACTACACTGCTTCAATAAAGTTTGTTAGTCAGTACCAAAAATTAAATTTACTGGAGCGTAGCTTTCTCAGGTTTACAGTAATACACTCCGTGCACCCTTCCTGCCACTGATGAGGACATTTTCTGTTCGTTTCATCCAGCTGTAGCAGAAACCGTCCCTCAGCGACGTGAACACCTACAGCTGATCGTTGCTGACGCCTCCAATAGGATGTTAAACATTCTGTGCTTGACTTGACACGTCTGTTTGTGTGTGTGTATGCTCATGTGGGTGTGTGTGCAGCTGTGCAGGAAGAGCGGCAGCGTGGGAAGGAACGTGGGGAGAATGAGGTGGAATCCACCAGCGGCTTTAACGAGGACATGCCCGTGGACAAGATCCTGGACGCTGAGCTGGCAGTGGAGCCCAAAACAGAGATGTACAGCGAGGGCAGTCCTAGCAACTCTGTAAGAATCTCACTGAGCTCAATTCAACTAAACCTAAGAACTCATAAAAAATGTTTTTTGTTTTAAAATTTGAGATCAGATGCATGACTAATATCTGGCTATCGTATGAAGAAAAGTTGCAAAATGTAAAAATTGCAGAGACTCATGACCCCAAATGTTGCTGGTTTAAGTAAACTTATCATTAAACCAGTTACCAAAAATCCTCATCAGCCAGTATATATTTGCTGCAGCTTCTTGGCCAGGTCTCCCTTAAAAAGGAGGTTTTTAATCTCAATGGTTTTTTTTGTCCTGGTAAAATAAAGGTTAAATAAAAAAAATTAAAATAAAATAACAGTTAAAGGGGTCTGCAACCTGCGGCTCTGGGGCCACATGTGGCTCTTTAGCCTCTCATGTGTGGCCCGTTGAACCTTTGACCAAAACTAATGTGATACATGTTTTTATTTATTTTATTTATATCCACAACAGAAAATATGAGTTCTAGAAGGGTTTTTGGCAATTTTCTGTAAATTTGTGATACAAGGAGTGAAATGTGTTGATTACATGTAGCTTCTCCATTTATCCAGCCTCCAGGCTTACAGTGGGATCTTTATCTAAAATAAAAAAAACTGTACTTAAATTTAAGTCGGGGGGGGGGAACGACTCACATAAGCCTGCAGAGACTCAGTATAAACATTTGTTTCCTAATTTTGGTATTTCCTTTTACCCTAAAATGTAAAAATACCAATAAATGTAAAAATTCATTATATATTTTTAATTTTATAATGTCACCCCATCTGGCCAGAAAAGTCCAATGACCTCTAAGTGGCCCATGGGCCACCAGTTGATAAGCAAGTTTTGCTGCTCCAGACACATTTTATTTAGTTATTGAAGTGGCAGAAATGGCTCTTTCAATCCCAAAGGTTGCAGACCCGTGGGTTAGGCATATTTGAAGTGATATTCTGTCAAAATTATTATAAATAGTCACCAATAACTCGTTAGCCGTGACATATTGCATACGTTAATGGTGGTGAGGCTGCGAATGTATCAGTCCACTTGAAGGTCCTGATGCTCCATCATCCAGGTAAATAAATCCTAAACAATTAGGTCAGGTCATCTGGAACGATTCTTCTGGAAGATGAGTGCAATTTTGGACTGACTGAAACATTTGCAGCCTCACCATCTGCAAATACAGTGAGTGTTTACAGTCTGCTCAGCACACACACATTTGAGTGCTAACGCAAACATTCTGTTGAAAAAACAGTGATAATCTGGTGGAACGATATCACGCAATAGTGTAGAGAATTAATAATGTACTTAAATAATTTATGTAATTATTAAGGTACTAGTTATCGATAACTACCATCATTTTTAAAGCTGATGTTATTTTTGAAGTTCTTCTCGAGACCCCACACTTGATGTTTCAGAGACCACTGTGAGGCCCACTAACCCTAACTTTGGGAACCGCAGGTATAAAAACATTCAAAATGTTAATTCAGATGTGTCTTTGATTGCGAAGGTAACTGAACTGAATATGATCTGTCCAAAGAAAAACAGAAATGAACATACAACTTTACATTCTGATAAAGATTTGATAAACGAGCTTATCGGAGACGTTTCTCACGGGTTAATCTGCTTGTTAAAGTAAATCCAGTTTAAACACGTCAGTGTCATAATCTGCTCTGAAGGCTGGTTTTTGTCCTCATCTGAGACTCACTCTTCAAGCGATGAAGATCCTTTGAAGTGGGGTAATGTGAAAAGGTTTGTTCAGTTGTAGACCCGATGATGATATCAGTGTAAAAGTGTAAAAAATAACATTTATAAAAGGTTTTGGACTGGACTTATTTAAAGACAGTAGCAATCCACTTTCTTTAGTCTGTTGCTCCTGACTCTTCAGTCTGGTCAGAATTAAACTCTTATTTCAACAAACTGAGGATGTTTAGAAACTATCCTCTACAGGTAAGATATTACCTGTTCACATGTTTAGAGACCATCTTCTACAGGTAAGATATTACCTGTTCACAGACTTTCCACTTGACCCAGTTTTTTAAATTTAAGCACGTATCCGAACTATCCTTTAAAATGTATTACAGTAGACACTGATTTACCGGTGGGGGTGGTGCAGAGGCTAGAAAAGGTGGACCTGTGATCGGAATGTCGCAGGTTCAACTCCTCAGACCGACAACATCAAAATGTGGGTGGGTGGTAAAGGTGAAACACACACACCTGTCTCCACCTTCATTCACCCCACTCTGGCTCCTTGAGCAAGGCCCTTGACCCCCACCAGCTGCCCTAGATGGCAGCTCTCTGCTCCACACAGAGGGCTGCAGCAGCTCGGTGGTCTGTGGTTGTGTCAAGAAGTGCTTCTGGTGTAAAAACAATTGGCACGTCTTCGTGCGAGTTAGTTCGCTGTGGCGACCCTTGAAGAAGGGAGCAGACAAAAGAAGAAGAAAAAGAAGAAGACACCGACGGATTTTATTTGTTACACAACAAAACTGATGGTTTGTCTCGGCTGTTTGCGAGGTGTCCGTCTCTGCACATTAAATTCAAGACTGCTTGAACTTCCACAGTCACGAGAAGAAACTAGTGCGCTGCAGCTGCTGTCTGAATATTAACGTCACTGATGGAGCACGGTTTTTATTCTCTGTTCCCCTTCAGACCAACGACCCCGTCACCAACATCTGCCAAGCAGCAGACAAACAGCTCTTCACCTTGGTGGAGTGGGCCAAAAGGATCCCCCACTTCTCTGAACTCCCTCTAGATGACCAAGTCATCCTCCTACGAGCCGGTAGGCCTGCAGACACGAGCGCATGTCGTAAGCCACGCAAAACACTTTGCTATGAGAGTAAACCTTCTTTGTACAACCCAGCTTCCTTGTGTGCATCTAGTATTTCTTCACAGCCGTTGTTAATTTCCAGTCAGCACATCTATTTTAGGTTTTTGATTTTTTCTTTACTGAATTTCACTGACATCGATTCATCGGTCCGTGTGATTTTTTTTGTTTTTAATCACACTTTACACACTTATCGCCTGTCCAGGGTGGAACGAGCTGCTCATCGCCTCTTTCTCACATCGCTCAGTCACAGTTAAAGATGGCATCCTGCTGGCCACGGGTCTTCATGTCCACAGAAGCAGTGCTCACAGTGCAGGAGTGGGCTCCATCTTTGACAGGTAGGAAACACTCAAAAGTCAACTATTATTTCACACACCGACTCTGAAGTAAAGTGTATGCTGACACCTTTTGTTGGTCACAGGTACTGAAATGGAGCAAAGCATCAATAAATATGGAAAATGGTTCTTAGACATTCTATAAAATCATGCAGAAGTGGGTTTATGCTGGGATTTTTTTTTTATTATTCTCTTAGTTTACTTTCAAAATGCAAATGTGAAAATGCTCCAGCAGGAGTTGTTTGACCTTATCAGTGGTCACATGACCAAACTGTAACTGATCGTCGTTTTGTGCAAACAATCCTCTGAACTGTTTTCCATACATTTATTTTACTCACAGCAGAGGAAGAACAGATATACTTTATAATTGCAATTTTGAATAGAATTGTTCTTGTGTTTCACTTTTTCTATTTTCTCCATGCAATAGAAATAAACTGAGTTATAACATTTATTTGAGATGGAAATGATTTAGTTACTCAGTTCCTGCTAACTCCTGCAGGGTCCTGACAGAGCTGGTTTCTAAAATGAAGGACATGCAGATGGACAAGACAGAACTCGGCTGCCTGCGAGCCATCGTCCTGTTCAACCCAGGTCAGTGTGGTCTGCACTAGGAGTGGTCACAAACAGTTCTTACGTGCAACGTTTATGCCCAGTTTTTGATGATTGATTTAAAATTGGAGATTTTTTTAATGCACCAGCAAAACATGACAATGATGTTAAGCTGCTCTTGTGTTTGTTTCAGATGCTAAAGGTTTATCGAACCCCTCAGAGGTGGAGGCGCTAAGAGAAAAAGTCTACGCTTCGCTGGAGTCGTATACGAAACAGAAGTACCCCGACCAGCCTGGCAGGTAAGCAGTGCTGGGATGTAACGAAGTACAAGTACTTTGTTACTGTACTTGTACTTAAGTAAAGTACAGATACACGAAACATGTACTTAAGTAGAGTTAAACGTGGGTACTTTCGACTTTTACTCCACTACATTTTACATTAAGTATCTGTACTTTCTACTACACTACATTTCCATAATGTGTTGTGTTACAAGTTACATTCACGTTGCAACTTTTTAATTTGTTTGTTAGTTTGAAAGTAACCAATGGTGAGAGGGAAGTTGGTCCATTGAATCACTGCAAAGTGGGCAGGTAATGCTAGACCCGCCTTCAAGAAGAGCTGGGCCAATGACGTATATTCTAGTATATATACACACACGTCATTGAGCTGGGAGCACCTGCAGCACCACTAACACACCCACAATGGATTCCACTGCAGAGAATCAGCCAGAAGATACGCACCACCCATGGCCTTATTGAAAGATTATTGAAAGACTGTCATAAACGCTTACTCCAAAGTGGAACAAACCAGTTCTGCTTGTGATTAGATGGGCTCTTTGGTACGCCCCTCCTCCATTGTCAGCCCTCTTCCTTGTTGACAGTCTTGTCAAACTGGTTGACAAGCTGTTGGAGGAAGAATCAGTTTTGTTGTGTGTTTCCTTGACTGATGAAGCCTTCTGGATCGAAGGCAAAACGTTTCAGCACAAAAAAAGAAACTGTCCAGATGACCTGACTGAAAAATGTTGGTGTTTATACCTGGATTATTGAACATGGACTTCACAGTCATAAACTGTGTTTTAAAGGTTGAACCCAAGGGTGCAGGCAGGACACTGTGAATACTCCACATGTAAAAGTAAATATAATTTGTTAAATAAACACGCTGACGTGGCAGCAAAACTCACTTTTTACAGATGATCCCGGGAAACACAAGGAGCGTGGTAGACATGAAGAGACAAAGACCAGCTGACAAGGAGTGAGGAACACAGACTTAAATACACACACTAATGAGGACAATGACGATCAGCTGGGAATGATGACAGGTGGGGACAGGAAGAACACATTAAGATGTCACAAGCAGGCGAGCGAGGCAGAAGTTTAAAATAAAATAAATTTATTTAAACAACAGAACAAAACGCTGTCAATGCAGCAAAACTTACTCTGACAAAACACGATCAGGAACAGGACTGAACAGGACATCAGAGTAAACGGGCAGAGCATCGGGTGGACAAGAACAGACAGGGCAGAGGAGGACCGAGACGTCTGAGTGAATACAGAACAATGACCGGACGAGGAGTGGAGGAGAGAAAGGCTTTTTCTAAGACAGAGGGAGAGTGAGTAATGAGAGCACCTGGGCAGGTGGCTGATGAGGGACAGGTGTGAATGATAAAGACTGAGGAGTGAGTGGAAAGTGACAACAGAATCAGATACACAGGAACAGAAATCACACAAAGAGCAGAATAACAAAAGTATAAAGAGCAGAGCGGAGAACACAAATAAATATCAAGAAAACAGACAGGGACAGAGCCTGTCATAAGAGGAGATAGGAGGACAGGACTAAGACACAACACAAGAGGGGGCCAGACACCCACCCACCATCCATTCATCCATCCATCCATCCATCCATCCATCCATCCATTCATTCATTCATTCATTGTCTTTTACCCGCTTCTTTCATTTTGGGTCACAGGACTCTCTTTCCCAAAAGAACCAGACTGGACTCAAAAAACTTTGAAAACCAACTTCTTCTGAACTTGAACAAGAAATTATTGCCTCAATATTAAAATGTGTCAGTTCATGATGGGACAGGAGACAAGAGATGTCTCCAAATGTCTCAACACTCAGGTCCAAGTTTTAAAAAATGGTGTCAGGAAGTTAAAATATTGTTCAGTATTGATCCATTACAAGGTTGAATAGACATGATTTTAACTAGAGTGATGACAAACTGGAGTTGAAATGATCAGAGTCTGTTTCTTTGTTAGTTGTGTCTAATGCTCCTTTTTTCAGGCAAACTTTTACTTAAATGTGTTTACTGCAGTTAAATGACACATTGGTTTTGCTTTGTGTTTAATAAAACTTTAAAGATATAATCATTCCTCTTTCTTATTTTGATTAATGATATTTAACTCATCCCTGAAATTCTGACACACAGAATCACAAGTCCAAGTGTGAACTGTGTCACAATAAAAACATGTATTATCTGCAGCATTGTTCATTAAAATGACTCAACACTATTAATGTATTACAAGAAATATACATGCGGTGGGTACACGTAATGATATTGTAGACCATTGCATTATGTAATACATTCATCAAGTACTTTTACTTTTAATACTTTAAGTATTTTTAAAAGCAAGTACCATACTTTTTACTTTTATTTAAATAAAAATGTTGATGTGGTACTTCTACTTTTACTAGTTACTATTTACTCTACTTTTTGTCTGTTTATTTGTACTTTTACGTAAGTACCGCGTTTGAGCACTGTCTCCACCACTGCAGGTAAGAAATAGGTTACAGCAGTTTACTGAACAGCTCCCACAACAAAACTCTGACTTGATTAGAGCATTATTTTTGACCACCGTCAAAGTGACAAAGCAATCATGGCAGCACTATGGCTCAGTGGTTAGCACTGCTGCCTCACAGGAAGAAGGTCCTGGGTTCAATCCTCAGTTTGGACTTGGGGTCTTTCTGTGTGGAGTTTGTATGTTCTCCTTATGTTTGCGTGGTTTTCCTCCCACAGTCCTAAAACACATCTCAGGCTTTCAGGCCTCTCTTGCAAAAGAGACCTGGTTAAATTAAGGCAAATAAATAAACACTTACTACAGTGAAGTAAATAAAAACTTTCTCTTACAGATATGTCATATAGAAGTCACTGTGTGCAGGTGGGTTGTGAAATAAGTAAACTCTTTTGTGATTTGCAGGTTTGCTAAACTGCTGCTCCGCCTCCCTGCTCTGCGCTCCATCGGACTCAAGTGTCTGGAGCATCTCTTCTTCTTCAAGCTAATCGGGGACACGCCCATCGACACCTTCCTGATGGAGATGCTGGAGGCTCCACATCAGATCACATGACACCCAGTCCCCCCCCCCCCCCCCGTCCCCCCCTCACCTGTACATACCTCCCTCACTGTGAGTGATATGGAGACCGAATAAAGAGACTTGATTGAAATTGTAAAATAACATATTTTCTACCAAGAACAGCAGAATATTTGCAATAGAAGTAATATTTTGTGATTGTGGGGAGAGTGCACTGTCCAAACAAATTCTGCTAGAGTTGTTAACAGATTTTGTAAATAGATAATTTTCTGGTATTTGTTTTTAAAGGCCACCCATTGCAAATTAAAAAGGAATCATAAGGAGAAAAAGAAACATCCCTGCATTTCATAAAAAAAACTTTATTAATTCTTACTGAATAAACCTATTTAAAATGTAAATAAAATGACCGTGTGTTTGTTTTATTTGACTCATTTGCTTTTTTCTATTTTCTAAATGTGTTTCCGTCTTATGTTTTCACTATTTGTCCACTAGAGGGCACTAATACATCATAATTCAGTATCCTGACGCATGCTCAATAATCTTAATTAGATCATAATTCAGTAAAACATTTTCTGATTACCAGCAGCAGTTTTGTGCTATATATGTGGTCATTATTTAAAAAAAAAGCTGTAGCAGAGCAGCTTATTAGTTATTTAGAAAATATCAGCTTCTTTGTCCAGTCCAGTTTGGGTTTCTCTCTGGTTATTCTACAGAACTGGCAACCTACCTACAGATAATATTAAAAGATCTTTAGATGATGGCAAGGTATTTGGAGCAGTGTTCCTGGACTTGAGAAAAACCTTCGATACAGTGAATCATGACATGCTCCTACATAAACTTAGTAAGCACAACTTCTCCCAGTTAGCTATTAATTGGTTTAGCTCATACCTAAAAAAAAATAGAGAACAGTGCGTCAAAGTTAACGGAATGAAATCTAGCCTTCGAAAATGTATAATGGGAGTTCCACAGGGTTCCATCTTAGGTCCGTTGCTTTTCTGTTTATACATCAACGACTTACTGGACAGTTGCAAATACGCCAAATGTCAGACGTATGCAGATGCAGATGTATCTGCAAAGACTCTGCAACAGGCAGCAGAGCTACTGAACAGGGAGATGGAGGGAGTGTCTCAGTGGTTTAAGAATCACTGTTTGACTCTGAACGGCAACAAAACAGTCTCAATGTGTTTCACTATCCAGTGTAAAGTCTGTAACGTTTCAATTGTGATTGATCCGAGAAAAAGTGAGGAGTTTAAATATCTGAGTGTCATTTTATATTCCCAACTTAACTTTGAGGCTCACATTAGGAAAGTTTACAACCATTGAGACAAACATAAATTGTTTTCATCTAGAAGATCACGTTTATGTGGAAAATCTGCTCAGTTGTACCACATGCCACGATTCTGTTTCGTTTCTCATAGTGTGTCACTGTCTGGAGCCAAGCAAGTCAATCTGCTTTCAAACCTGTGAGGATGTTGTATTTACAAGCACTGAAAGATTTTACAAGTCAGCAGCTCAGGAGTTGCAACAAGAGGTGCAGGTGATGGAGACTGCAAACCTGCAAAATACAGAACATCATTTGGTCAATGTTCCTTCTCATTTAAAGGCCTCATATCTGGAACAGTTTACCATCAGCAATAAAAACATTTACAGATCATAGAGTTTTTAATGCCCAATGGCTGAAACAATAACTAATATGTGAACACTGAGCCCCATGGGGATGGAGGAGCAGGCAGGTGTGTGTATGAGGGGACTGTTTAATTCTAATTTAATCTGAATTCTATTTTAGCTGTTATTTAAAAAAAAAAAAGTCCAACCATGGACTGGGTTTGCAAATTAACCTGTGGCTTGAAAACCTTCGTACAAAACAACGGTTGCTCTGTTTTTATCATGTAACATTGTTTATTGCACTGTCCTTGATCGAATCAACTTGAATGAATTAATTTTTTATCTATTACTGTTTATCTTTTGCACAGTAATGTCTAGAATATGTCACTGGTTCTATATCTACAGTATATCTTTTGTACTGTGTCCCGTACAAGCAAACAAATGTCAAATTAAGGATAAAACGATAAGTTTATTATTCAAGTTATCAAATGTGTTCATGTCCAGATGGAACACCGCTCGTCCACAAGATATTTTCTCAACTTGTTTATGATGGATGTTAAGTGGTGTTTCACAAAAAAATGGATGCAAAGTGATTGAGATGTGATTGCTGTAAAGAATTAACGATCAAAATCATCTGGCAGTTTGAGCTCGGCTTCCCCACCACGTGCCAAAGACTTCGAACCCCAAGGTGACCCCAACAGTAAGTGAATGTGTGACTGTGACGTTCACTTACGTAAAAAAAAAAACCTACAAAAATGCAATTTTTTTACCATTTAGGTAAAACTGCACCGTGGTTCTCTCCGTGCATGTGTGGGTTTTCTCCGGGTACTCCGGTTTCCTCCCACAGACCAAAAACATGCATGTTAGGCTGATTGGTAACTCTAAATTGTCCCTAGGTGTGAGTGAGAGAGTGAATAGCTATTTGTCTTGTTTGTCTTGATGTGATGGACTGGAGACCTGTCCAGGGTGTCCCCACCTCTGCACAGTGACTGCTTGATATGGACAGCAGTGACCCCTTGTGACCTGAAAAAGAAGAATCAGGTAAAAGATGGATGGATGGATGGATGCACCGTGGGTGTGTAAAAAGAAGCAGGTAACATCTATACCCCGTTACAGCAATAGTTCTGGTCAACTTGCAGAAACAAAGGCATGATTTGTATAATCTCTTATATTCTTGAGTCACAGCAATACTTTTAATAAACATTTGTTACTGTTAACGCGTACAAAAATATGTATCAGCCTGTTTGTCAAGCTTTTAAATGTACTTTCTATCTTTTGGACCTTGAGTGAGACCTCGGGACACTTGCAGTGAGCTTAGCTAACACCACTTGTACTGCAGTCTTACTGCTTTTTGGACGAGTCAGACGGGTGGTTCAGTGAGACAGGGCCCATTTCACTCCATCCCTCTCCATCACGTTTGACAGAGGCAGACATCTGTAGCTTAACATGATCTTGTATGAACAGAGCTCTGATCAAATGTGTTTCATTTTCTGAGCATTTGACTCAGACACATCAGTATGAGATAATGACAGCGTAGTGTTGGCCAAAGACACTTCAACAAAGGGCCACAACTGGCCCCGCGGGCTGCCGGTTGAAAAGCCCTGGTACGAAACCATAAACATGCCTGACATCTTTTACTGTGAGAACTCAAGAAATGGTGACATGTGGAAAATATTATATCCATCCATCCGTTCTTCCATCCATCATCCATCCATCCATCCATCTATCCGTTCTTCCATCTATCTCCATTCATCCACCCATCCATCTTCTTCCATCTATCTCCATCCATCCATCCATC